TCCTTAGACTCCCGAGTGCGAGTAGACGAGGTACGGTCCGCCGCATATTAGATAGTACCAGGGTACGTTCCGGGTATACCGGACCGTACCCAGGGTACGTTCCGGCAGTACCCTGGGGGACATAGACCCTCTCTCAGCACTACTAGATGAAAATCGTACATTGCTTTCTCAGCGCCAGTTATGCCTATAAGCAGCTGTACTGTTCAAATAAATTTAGAGACGGTTCGCCTTCTGACTCATGTACTTGGTTGCTTCCGTTCGAAGACTATAACGTGCGTTCATCATTCCCTAGTCAGCACATTATTCGCGTATATTCACAATAAGTTCAGGTATGCGTACTTTATTACTTCATATACCTAGATTCATCACTGTCATATCTCTCTCTTTCATCATTTCTGGGTGCACTCACTCACTCATTCTATTCGTCTAACTATCTATACATCCATCTATCTATTATCTATCGATTCTATCTATCCTATCTATCTATCTATCTAGTGTGTGTGTGTGTGTGTGCGTGTGTGTGCGCGCGTGTGCGGGTATATGTGTATGTGCGTGTGCGTGTGCGTGTATATGTGTATGCGTGTGTGTAGGCCTACATGAGGAGAACTGTACAGTAGGACTATGCAAGTTTCTTCCATAAACAGATGAACAGGTTTTGGCACGAGCAACCTCGCGGTTCGCCTCGACGTTTCACGCTCCTGTAGAATGGAACATATATGTAGCCGGTGCTCTGTGATCGATGTTGTACATAGGCAGTCAAACAGTCGTGTGTATCTACGCCGAGCGCCTACAAAGAGCCAGCAAAGCTATAGAGTTGAAGGACGTGGTTGACTGGCCACATACTCGACAGTAAAATGTCGTAGCCGGTTGGACAGTAAAGATATGGCTGACTAGCACTTACATACTGTCGACATATAGTGCGTATGTTAAGATGGGAGAGAAGAGAAATCGCCACTACGCGTTAATAAAAGCCTAATCAAATTGTTGCATTCGCGTATAAACTCAAAGTTGAGGGCATAACTTGACACGTAACGTCACCATCTTCAATTCTGCAAAGGTGATACGTACATCGGTTAAATTTACATTGATTGTGATCGTTGAATGTAGTTTCCCAGTGATGTGTGTCAGATATTGTCGCTGCAATCGTTAAGCATGTAACCATGGCGGTCCCATGCGACGAAGCCGTGTCTTCGTGCATATTCGTTATCTTCCTTCCATCTACCATTTCCATAAGGCGTGCGATCACCTAGCGATAGACGAGGACGATGCCTACAGAGGTCTATATTAAACCACATTCACGCCTTGTAGTAATGATTTCCAATGTCGATGTCAATGTAAATAAAGACGGTTCATTACAATAATCTTGATTCGTTTGCCTTGCCCCGCAGCGGTGAGATTCGGCCGAGTACCGAAGCGGGAGAAGCAGAAGATAATGGCGGAGATGCAGAGAGTGAACGCGCAGTCGCAGGCCAGCGCGCTCATTGTGCAGATAGAGGATGAAAGGAAGCTGTCGAACACCATCATCCAGGTGAGAGAGCAGCTGCTCATCATCCATGTATTCATGGCTGCCTCGTGTACACGAACATTCACGCGCACGCATGCCACACGCACGCACACACGGACGCCACACAAACGCGCACACACGCACGCATGCACGCACGCACGCACGCACGCACGCACGCACACACACACACACACACTCACACACACACACACACACACACACTCACTCACACACACACACACACACACACACACACACACACACACACACACACACACTCACTCACATACATACACACGCACACTACACACACACACACATACAC